TTGTATTTTTAACATCACATACTCAAATGAATCAATAAAACTCATATGAATATATACCTTGCTTTGTTTTAATAACAACATATTTTTATTTTTTTTCATAAAATTATGGCGTTCAATCTTCAAATGCAAAAGTTCAGTTCTACTTCAAGTGAGGGTATAGAAAAATAACAAAATGCCGTTTCTCTCACCATAACAATAATAAAGCACATGGAGCGGCAGAATGCGAGTCTGTGAAGACTTTTATGAATTCCGAGGCTTAACCCCAACTTGGGCATCCACTGCTGTGATATAATTCCCATTTAAAGGCCCCTGAGACCCGCACTAGCAGGTCAACCCCCGCCCGATCTCACAGGCACACACGGGATAGACAGAACTGCACAGACTTTAAAAATGAGCTAACATCTAAACATGAAAACCTCACTTCCATAGAAACAAAAAAAAATGGACACTTTGTGTCGAATAGAGATAATCATAGAGTCTCCATAACCATAACATTCCAAATGTCCAGGGGTACAAATCGAAATTCACCTTACAATAAGAGGATGAGCCCATGGCTTGGCACGGTGGGGGGGCCACCATCCTGTAGTCCCAGCACCTTGGGAGGCCGAGGTGGGTTGGAATCAACTTCAGGTCAGGAGATCGAGACCAGCCGCCTGGCCCACACTGGTGAAACCCTGTCTCTACTAAAAATACAAAAAATTAGCCTGGGCCGTAGGTCGTGGGCGCCTGTAGTCAGCCGACATTGGGAGGCTAAGGCAGGAAGCAAATTGCCTTGACCGAAGAGGTGGAGGTTGCAGTGAGCTGAGATTCAACCACGGCACTCCAGCCTGGGCGACAGCAAGACTCTGTCTCAAAAAAAAAAAAAAAAAAGAAGGAAAGAAAAGTAAGAGAAAGTCATAGCTATCAAGATCTGCTTTAAAGAACTACAAATCAAGTTTTCAGACAAAAGAAACTGCAGAATGAAACTTGCAAAAAATCAAGAGTGAAGGAAGAGTGGCAGAAATGGGAAATATCTGGAAATCCGTTAATAGGCCTTTTCTCCGAGAGCTTATTGAAACAGTCAATGAGTTATACAAAACTCAGTGATTAAAAGTACAAGATACATAGCAATTTCCCAAGGGTTTTTTTTTTTTTTTTGATGGAGTCTCCATCTGTCGCCCAGGTTGGAATGTGATGGTGCGACTCGGCTCACTGCAGCCTCCGCCTCCCGGGTACTTGTAGAATAACTACTTACATTATTCTAGTAATAACAGCAATAGATAAAATGTTAAAGGACAACGTATATAAAACCAATACCATTAAGAAATACCTTGAGTCTCTTCGATTGAGAGGTTTTGTTAGCGTCCTGCTTTTTGTGGTGGAATGGGAGACATCAAACAGAGTGTCCATAAAAGTTGGTTTTCAGGTTCATCAGGAGAATTTTCCTTTCTGGAGCCTGTCATTATAAACACAACTGCCTTGACTTACTCACCCTGGGTCTTCGGGAAACGTGTCAATGGATGGAACAGTCATATGTCGAGCACGGTTAGAAAGATTTAAAACACGATTGTTATTTTCTTCAGATATTCTTGAGGGAAAGGCATGGGGATACAGCCCATGGGTTCTTCCGTAACGTATCTGTCCCCAAAGCCTGTGTGATGGGCACATGTGACCCAGCCCTCCTCTGTTTTTGGACACTGGAATCAAGGATGCATCTTCTACCATTCATTTCCAATGAGAACGCTGGATTCTCTCTTCCCACACTCTCGGACTGACCTCTTTACAAACTCTGCTGTCTAAGATAGGACACGAGGTAAGGTCCCTTTCACTAAGGCTTCTGAAGAGCAGCTCCAGGGCCCGGTCCCTTTCTCTCCACCATGCTCAGCAGGGCGCGGTCTTGCTTGCCGTGTCTTTGCCTGCTCCACCAGCTCCTTCTCATTCTCACTGAGAACCTCATTGTCTTGGAGATCATCGAGCACCCCTTTCAGGTCCCCAATCCTGGCTTGGAGTTGCCGTGGTTCTCCCTCACAAAGGCTGCACCTGGATGAAAGGGGGAGTTGTGGACTCTGAGATTGCCT